AGGTTTAGGGTTAGGTTTAGGGTTAGGTTTAGGGTTAGGTTTAGGGTTAGGTTTAGGGTTACGTTACAGCGTGCTTCTGTCGGCGTGCTTTTGTCGGCGCGCTTTTGGGCTAATTAGTCGCTCATTCGTCGCGCGGTTTTGTCACCGCGCTTTAGACACCACGGTTTAGTCAGGCGCGCTTTTGTTGTGCGCGCATTTGTGGTGGAACCGTATTCCTCCCCCTCTGTTGAGAGAGGGCTGTTCAGCTTTGACGTAGATGGCCTGTTTGACCCCTCTTCCAAACCAGCGGTCCTCTCTGTCCAAAATGTGGACTTTGCCTTCAAAGTCCACATTTTGGACTTTGGACATTTTGGACATCTTCAAAAGAGTGGGCTTTGTCTTTTAAATGCAGACGGACTGCTGAATCTAATCCGGATGGGTTTGTTCTCCGATGTTGCACCACCCGTTTGTGAAGTGGCTGTTTTGTTTCCCCCCAAGTTACAGATCTGCACTTGCTCTCTGCATTGTGCTGCATATACGTGGTGTTTCTTTCTGTGCCCTGCAGGTAACGGAACTACAGGGTGTTTCCCGAGGAATGTACGACGGGCCGGTCTACGAAGTTGTAGCAACTCCTGCGAAATATGCAACCCCCGCCCCCTCAACGAAAACGTCGCCTGCCAAAAACCAGCCTCCGCCCATCAGAAACCTCCATCAGTCTAATTTCAGTTTATCAGGTGATTTCTGAAATCTTTTTGGAAATAGAATGGTTGCGGGAAAGATTGGTCCCGGCATGAGACATTTAGGATGGAGTTGCTGCCCCGTTTCGAGCGAGAAAGCATACTTCGGAGAGATGATGTCATTGCAAAGATGTTCTAGGGCCGAGGATGGTTGGCTGGCTGACCAACTCTGGGGGTGCCAGTTTAGCAGGAAGGGGAGCTAGGCCGCAGCCATTTAGACAGCCAGAGTGGCCTTGGTAGTTTAGACTTGCTTGAGGCTCTTTTTCTAAAGTTCATTTGAAGTTACCAGGGAGGATTTACAGTCACAGACCTTATCTGTCTTGGAGAACTGCCAGGCCGAGATCTGCAAAACTTGGCAAGTAGTTTCAGAGTCACAAACCAATGAAGCGAACTAATGGTCTCCTGCAAACTCCACTCCCCTTTTGCTCCTCTTTTATTTCCTTTGGGAGGGGCCATTCATCGTCCACCTGTGGCCTTCCTCCCAAGTCGACCCCTATTCTTTAGCTCTTCCCTTCGTCTGGCAACTCTGCGTATGTGCACACTGGGAACAGGCTCCAGTTGTTCGTCTGCCTCACTGATGTCTGACTCTGAAGGCAGTGGATAACTGGCATACGGCTCTGGCCCCCTCTCTGCCTCCGACACAGAGCCCTCATCAGAGCCTTCCCCAGACTCCAGGACTGGTCCAGGTTCCTCCCCAACCTCCCCACTGTCCGAATCTTCTGCCAGCTTCTCTGGCCGCTGGTGGACCACAACACTTTAGAGGAGGGTTGGATCCATGCCGTTTCTCTAATTACACTCCCATATGACCTGGCATGAATGAATCTTGCCTCAACTAGGGAAGACATATATACATTTTTAAATAATTGATGCTTAATCTGTATACCAGAATAGTTCTTTTCCTTTGTGGGAAAGCAACTGTCTTGCGGCAGCAAAAATGAAGAAGCAAATCCCACGGAGTTTGGATAGAGCTTTCCATCTGCCTGCCTAGCCCTGATTAGATTAAAAATAAGGGTGGGCACCCCTCTGTATCTCCCCACTTTTGAGAAGTCCAGATCTAAGCCACGCAGAAGCTCCCGTTGGCAGCCCCAATGCCATACTAAGAGAGGGTTCGGTTTGGGGTGCTTTGTGCTCAGAAAGGACAGATTCTCATGTATTGCTGAGGATTAAATCTAATTGTTGTGGCCTCTCGGCCACCGGCCCTTCCAGCAGCCAAATCAGGG